ACTGGAGCCGTCGGTGGAGCTCCCTATGGGGCCACGAGACGCTGACGTGGATAGCGTTGACGCATGCGGACCCTGCCACTGGAGCCTTCGGTGGAGCTCGCTATGGGGCCACGAAGCGCTGTCCTGGGTGGCGTTGACCCATGCGGACCCTGCCACTGGAGCCTTCGGTGGAGCCACATCTGGGGCCACGAAACGCTGTCCTGGGTGGCGTTGACGCATGCGGACCCTGCCACTGGAGCCGTCGGTGGAGCTCCCTATGGGGCCACGAGACGCTGCCGTGGATAGCGTTGACGCATGCGGACCCTGCCACTGGAGCCTTCGGTGGAGCTCGCTATGGGGCCACGAAGCGCTGTCCTGGGTGGCGTTGACCCATGCGGACCCTGCCACTGGAGCCTTCGGTGGAGCCACATCTGGGGCCACGAAACGCTGTCCTGGGTGGCGTTGACGCATGCGGACCCTGCCACTGGAGCCTTCGGTGGACGATGACGAGGCGGATGGGAAGAGGGAGGACGGGGAGAGAGGAGGAGAGGAGAGGAGGAGGAGGAGGAGGAGGAGGAGGAGGAGGAGGAGGAGGAGGAGGAGGAGCCGCGGGTCGCTCTCTTCAAAACGAGGACCCAACACCACAGGACGGTTGGGAAAATCATCACGTCGGGGGTCTGGAAAGGGCCCGCCATGGTCCACGGTGCCCCTCGAGGGTCATCGCCGGGGAACAAAAAATGCACACGTCCGAGCGAGGCCGGGGCCCGGGCCCCGCGGGCCCTCCCGCGCGCGCCGCGGGGTCGGGGCCAGCGCACGAGGAGCAGGGTGCCTCGAGGGAAAGGGAGAGGCGAGCAGAGATCGAGGAGCGAGGGGGAGGAGGGAGGGGGAGCGAGGAGGAGGAGGAGGAGGGAGGAGGAGAAGGAGGAGGAGGGGGAGGAGGAGGTGGAGGAGGAGGAGGAGGACGAGGAGGAGGAGGAGGAGGAGGGAGGAGGAGGACGAGGAGGAGGAGCAGCAGCAGGGAACCCCACCAGCAGAGGAGAAAGAACCATGCACATGCACCGATCCTGGCCAGGCCCAGCCTGAGCCCAGGATCGGTGCAAACGCCCTCCCGCCTTGGCCAGGAAGGCAGACATGCACCGATCCTGGGCCCGGGACCTGGGGGGCAACTCGGAGGGGTCCGCCTCGAAAGATTACTCCTGGAAGCCAGGGCGAGACCTCAAGTCGTCACGATCTCACGCCGTTGTGATTTGCTCACGACGTCGGGTTCCCGGGTCGTCATCCTCCTACTCCCCCGTGTCCTCCCCTTATCCTACTCTTGTTCATCATCATCATCATCATCATCATCATCATCATCATCATCATCATCATCATCATCATCATCATCATCATCATCATCAGCATCATCATCATCATCCTTATCATCATCGCCATCGTCATCATCAACACCATCAGCATCAGCATCAGCATCATCATCATCATCATCATCATCATCATCATCATCATCATCATCATCATCATCATCATCATCATCATCATCATCGCCACCATCATCATCATCACCATCAGCCTCAGCAGCAGCAACACCATCAGCATGAGCATCATAATCTGCATCAGCAGCATCATTATCAGCAGCATCAGCATCAGCATCAGCATCATCGTCAGCATCATCATCAGTATCAGCAACAGCATCATCGTCAGCATCAGCATCAGCATCGGCTTCAGCTCAGCATCATCGTCACCATCAGCAGCAGCATCAGCATCAGCATCATCATCATCATCATCATCATCACCAGCACCATCACCACAATTATCATGACCAGTATCATCATCATCAGCTCCCTCCTCATCAGCATCAGCATCATCATCAGAAGCATCGACATCCTCATCGACAACAACAACGTTATCATAATCATCATCATCAGCAGCATCATCATCACCATCATCATCATCATCATCATCGTCATCGTCATCCCGATCAACAACAACCGCAGCAGCAGCAGCAGCAGCAGCGCAACAATAACACCAACAAACACAACCATACAAGCATCAGCAACAACAACATCGACGACGTCGTCATCTTCATCACACTTTCATCAGCATAGAGTCTTTGAAAACGAAGAGCAGGAGCAGGACACAAAGAGGAGGGGGCCCCGTGCCCCTCGTCCACGTGTGCCCCTCCTAGCGGCCTTCTGCCCATCCTGCCAACGTGCCTAGGTTGTTGGTCTGAGACCTTTTGAGTGTCTGCTCGGGTCTCTGGGGAAGCCTCTAGGCAACCTCTTGGAGGCAGTTTTGAAGCCTCCTGGGGCGCCTTTCGGGGCCTCTTTTGGGTCTCTTGGGGAGTCCTTGAGGGCCTGCTGGCGGTCTTCGGGGTCATCTTGGGGGGGAGTCTTCGAAATGTGGGTTCGAATTCCCCCTCTTGGGGCCGTCTTGAGCGCCCTGGGTGTCTCATGGGCAGTCTTGGGGCCCTCTTGGGCCTTCTTGGGGACATCTTGGGCCGTCTTAAGGCTGTCTCGGGGGCCTCTTGGGCCGTCTTGGATGCTGTGAGGTCAAAAAAGCGAACTAGAAATGTGCGTCTTCCTCGGGGAATGCGATGACAATTGCCTCGTTGGGCCCTCCTGGCGGTCCTCTTAGAACCGCTGGGGGGCGTCGTGTGGGCCTCTTGGACCGTCTTGACGCCATCTGGGCCCGTCCTGAAGCCATCTTGGCCTGTCTGTGGCCTACTTGAAACCTGCCCAGAAGCTCCGGGGGAGCCAGGGAAGCTCCCCGAAGGCTCCCGGGAGGCTCCCGGGAGGCCCCGGGAAGGGAGGGGGGAGGGAGAACTTGGTGTTGTTCAGGTGCCCTGTTGTTGTCTTCGGCCTGGGGCCCCCGTGACCATATGAGAGAGGTGATCATCATCACTACCACGACCAGAATCACCATCTTCATCATCATGATCATGGTCATCACCACCATCATCATCATCATCATCATCATCATCATCATCATCAGCATCATCATCATCATCAGCAGCAGCAGCAGCAGCAGCAGCAGCATCTCATCATCATCAGCAGCAGCATCAGCATCGCCATCACAATACTGATAATCATCATCATCATCATCATCATCATCATCATCATCATCATCATCATCATCATCAGTATCATAATCGTCATCGTCATCAGCAGCAGCAGCATCATCATCGTCATTAAAGTCATCATCATAATCGTCATCATCATCATCATCACCACCACCATCATCATCAGCAGCAGCATCGTCATCACCAGCAGCAGCATAAGCGTGAGCGTCGGCGTCAGCATCATCATCAGCAGCAGCAGTAGCACCACAATCACCATCATCATCGTCATCATCGTACTAATGTTCATCAGAATGACCATGCGACCATCGCCATCACAATGATCATCACAATCATCGTCATCATCACCACCATCATAATCATCATCCCCGCCATCTCCACCACCACCACCATCATCATCATCATCATCGTTATCATCATTGTCATCAGCAAAATCATCATCATCATCATCGTCATCATCAGCATCATGATAATCATCGTCGTCATCGTCATCACCATTATCGTCGTCGGCATCATCAGCATCAGTCTTGACACTGTTGCGTACCACAGAGAATACGATACAGGGAAGAAATAAAGAGACGAAGGCCCACGTAGAGCCAGCTAAGCATCGTCTCACTGATTGGCGTGTTCCCATGTTTCCAGATGACAAGATGACAAATTATGATGACACGTTTCGGAAATCCCCACTAGCCCAACTTCACATTGCTGGTGGGTGGCTTCACGAATCGCACCAGATGCCATTTCCTAGTAAGATTCGCTTGTGGTGCTGTATAGGACGCGGGTGCTATGCGAGTGCTCATTGCGTAAGTTAGGCGAGATGCGCACGTGCAAGATCACCCCAACAAGAGCGGAGTATCTTGATCTATAAAGCCGGGGTTCTATAAAGCCAACGCGAAGCGTGTGCGTGGCCGTCCTGTGCAGATCGCACGTGCAGGAAGACTTTTTTTAAAGACACCGTCTTGTAGTCAGACTCATGCGCCTACTCCCCTTCCCCCCCTCCGCGCCTCCTCGAAGGGGCCCTGAGACACACAAATAAATACACACAAATAAAAAGAGTCCCCATATTTTCCCATATGTTCTGGATTTTTGTCTTCCCCCCAATTCCCATATCTTCCTATATTTTCTTGGGGATCGACGATTAATTGTGTCTGTGTGTTTTTTCCCCCTCCTGACTCCTCCCCGATTCCCGTCCCCCATCCCTCCTGCCCCTCCCTCTGCCCAGACATCCAGACGTCGCGACGGCTCACGACGTGCCCCCCCGGAAGCCTGGGCCCCTTGCCCGGGGACCAGCGCTTCCTCCCGAGCTGTTCTGCAGACGGCCCCGCGGCCCGGCAGGGGCCCTTTCGGAGGCCGAAAACCGGCGGAGGCCTCCCACCATCGTTTGGCGGCGCGCAGAGGGGGGGAGCGGGAGGGGGGAAGGCTTCTTAGAAGCACCCCTGATTCTTAGTAGGCGCGGGCCTTCTCTACAGACGTAAGGCCGAGGCCTTCTAAGAAGCAGGGTGCTTCTAAGAAGCCTTCCCCCCTCCCCCTACCCCCTCTTGCGCGCCGCCAAATCGTCATCTCTTCGCGGCGCGAGGACGTCAAGGCAGATTCTGTCAGCACCGAATCGGCACATCGGGCCGGATCGACATGGGCATCGGATGGGGCCGCATCGGCACTGGGTCGAGAGCGGATCGGATCGGCTGCGCCAGCGCCATGCAAGCATCGGGCCGCACCGGACCGTCGGAGAATGCCAGCATCGAATCAGATCGGGCTGGTCCGAGGTCGGCATCGAATCCGGTGGATCGTGTCGAAATGGACCCTGCAGGGCGCCTCCCCGATTACATCACTCGCTCCACTCGCTCCCCCTCCCCATCCTCACCCCCTCCCCTCCTCGCTCGCCTCCCGTCTTTCCCCTCCCTCGACCCCCCGCGAGCAGCGCGGGGGGAGGGGGGCGGCGCCCGCTGGCCTCTTGAGCGAGGACCGCTTCAGCTCGAGGCTGCCTCGGCGCGCGGGCTCTCCCCCGGCACCCCGGCGGCATGATGGAGGAGCGAGCGCGGGGCGGCAAGCCAAAGAGGGGCCGACCAAACTGCACACACACACACACACACACACACACACACACACGCACGCACAGACGTGAACGTTGTTTGTATTCGGCGGCGTTTCGACATTGGGCGCAGGGGGGGTCTGGCCCCAGACCTCTGCTCAGCGCGACTGTTTGCAACAGTGCATACCATGGGGGAGACTCCAACTGCTTGAAGCAGGCGCCAAACACAGCCAAGATCTGCTCCATTGGGGGGGGGAGGGGCTACGAGGGCCCGCGCCGATCGGCAAAACAGCGAACAAAAAAAGGATCACCAATCACCACATATATACATACCCACACACACACTTGTTTGGCGGCCGCGCCCCGCGCGCGGCGACGGGGCAGAGCAACCCGCGGAGAGGGCACAGAGCCAGCGCGGGCGGCCGGGCCCCACACGCACGCACCAACACGCACACACACACACACACACACACACACACACACACACACACACACACATACGCACACACACACACACACACACACACACACACACTTGTCTGGGGCGGGGCGGTCGCGGCTCCGCGACCGCAGCGACGAGGCGCAGGCGCAGGCAGGAAGTCGAGCACCACCGCGCACAGGCCGCCGCGCGCGCCGGGCCCCCAGAAGCGGGAGGCCCCGCGCCGTGGGCCATGTGAAGGGGCCCTGGGGCACACAAATAAATAGACACGAACAGCAGTGTGTCCCATATTTGTCCATATTTTCTGGGCTTTTGTTGTCTCCCCCACTTCCCATATTTTCCTAGATGTTCTGGGGGAGTCGACGATGAATTGTGTCTGTGTTATCTTTCTCTCCTGAGCAAGGGACCGTGGGGGGAGGGTGCCCACCTGGCAACAGGCAGGCGACGGAGGACGGACGCACAAATACACACACACACTCACACTCTTTGGCGGTCGGGGCCACGCGCGGGGCGGCGCGGCGTGGACAGTCAAGCGGAGGCAAGCGCGCGGCTGGGCCAGCTCACGCAGACGGGGAACCAAGAATCCGCCCGTGGGGGATCGACTGGGTCACTCGCGGTGGGACGCGCGGGGCGTAGGGAGAGGGGGAGACGGCAAGCTAGGTGCGCTCGCGACATATCTGACGTCCTACCCCTCCCTTCCGTCCCTTACCATGGCGTAGATCTACTCTCTATTCGCACAGTCGGATGTCGAGCAGGGCAGTGATTCCGAGAGGGTGCGCGATGCATCGTAGAGCACGGCATAGCAGGGCGTAGAAGAGCAGGGCAGAGCGTGATATGTCACAGCATGGCGTGGCGTTGCGTAGTGAAGAATTGCATCACAAAGTATTGCAATGCAAAGAATGGCATCGCACAGCGGCACAGAACAGAACATGGCATAGCATGGCGTTGAAGATCAAAGCGTAGCATGGCATAGCATGGCGTGGCACTGCGTAGTCAAGCACTGCATATCCTAGCATTGCAGCTGAAGGCATCGCACAGCGGAACACCATATAGGATTGCATTGCATGCCGTGGCATGACACTGGAAATAATGACGCCAGCGCTGCAGCGGGAGCACGATTCGGAACGTGCGGAAGCGCGGAAATGAGGCCAGCGCTGCAGCAGGAGCACGATTCGGAACGAGCTGAAGCCAGAAAATGAGGCCAGCGCTTCAGCGGGAGCAACGTGTTGAAAAAAAGCCAGCGAAAACGCAACTCCTGGGAATCCTGTGTGAAAAAACCGTACGCGGAGGGCGGCCGAACATCTTCCGGACGTCATCAGGGGAGAGAGGAGAGTAACATTGGAGAATACACACACACACACACACACACTTTTTTGCCCGCCGACCCAGCGAGCGCGCGGGCCAGTCCAGCAGCTCAGGGGGCGCATCTACCACCCAGAGAAAGCAGGCTACGTTGAGCGCGCTCTTCGACACCATTGCAGTTGAAGGCTGGGCGAATGGGAGGCTCAAACGCACACACACACACACACACACACACACACACACGCACACACGCACGCACGCTCGCACGCACGCACGACCGCACGCATCACACACATATACATACACACACGCATACGCACGCACGCACGCACGCACGCACGCACGCACGCACACACACACACACACACACATTCACACACGCACGCACACACACAGACGCACCCCCCACACACACACACACACACACACACACACACAACACACAACACACACACAACACACAACACACACACACACACACACACACACACAACACACACACACCCACGCACGCACGCACGCACGCACGCACGCACGCACGCACACACGCACGCACGCACGCACGCACGCACGCACGCACGCACGCACGCACGCACGCACGCACGCACGCACGCACGCACGAACACACACACACACACACACACACACACGCACACACACACATACATACACAGCCACACGCACACATTTTTCCCTCCAGCGACGGCGAATCCCAAACTGCGGAAACGACGCAACGGGCAACGTTTTCCTCGAGCTGCTTTCTTTATGAAGAAAACGGAATCAGAGGCACGAGACGAGCGCTCGCGTAATGAAGCTCGGAAAACCAGACAGTGCAAGATGAGGAAGGCGAAGGCGGAACAGGGAGGGCCACCGCAAGAACGTGGCCGATACGGCCGTTCCGTGAGTAAACAAAGGTGCCGATGGCGGGCAACCGAGGGCGTGTGAAGCGGCCGCACCAACAGGAGGGGGCCGGCAGAGAAGGAGGTGCGGTGACACTCGGCAGAGAAGAAGAGTGGCCAGAATGCACGGCAAGGACACGTAGAAAGGCGAGAGAGAAGCACGAAACAGAGGTGGACAGGTGAAGGGATGCCCGGCGACACCAGCCGCGCCCGTCGAGAACAACGGCCACGAGTGAACCCAGCGAGCGCATGAAAATCGCCCCCCGCCCCCCACATGAAGACCAATTCGACCGTGAAACGACGCGTGGGTTGCAAACGGAAGTTGCTCGACGGTCAGCCAACGACAATGGCACGGCGCGCTGCTGCTATGCTCATCTGCGTTTGAATTTGGCGTTGCTTGTGCTGACGCGCGGTCAGTGCCCAATGCCATTGCGGATATTCGCGCGCTCGTGCCGGGGCAAGAACCAAGGGACGCGTCGGCCCCTGGCGGCGCTGGCAACAGCCCGAAACGGCGCATGGGGCCCGCCGCGCACGGGCGCGCGTCCACAAGTTTAGATCAACAAAGAAAAAAAAAACAAGTTTAGGCACCAGGCGGCAAAACATATAAACTCCGTACAACATCGATCTAAACTTCTCCGATGCGGAAAGTCTCGCGCGGGAGAGCCCCGAAGATTGCACATAGACGAAAGTCTGGTTTATATAAACACCAAACACATTTAGATTGGACCAGTTGCCTCAAAAGAAGCGTTCCGGATCTAAACTTTTCCGTCGGCGGGGGAAATGGGGGGGCCACGGAAGCGGGGGCGGCGGCCCTGATCTGGGCCAGCGGCGCTGCCGTGCGAAGGACAGCGCCGCCGTCGCCGCGAACTGCAAGCCATGGGCGTGGCACGCGCGGCCCCGGGAATGCCGGCGCGGGCGCGGCCGCGTCGAGCGGGCCCAGGACGTCGCCGCGCGCGCGGGGCCCCCCTGCGGCAGCTGGCAATGGCCTCGCCTACATGGCGCCTATACTTACGCACGTTCGCCAAAAATGCAAAACGCTGACATGTAAAATCTATTGTTGTGGGGGCTGGGGCCTGTTTCCTGTTCACCCAGGCTGGCGACCGCGACAGGGCCGGGCAGGTCCGCGCCCGGAGCAGCAGAGGACCGGCAGGGACTCGCAGGGAGGGGGGCAGCCAGCGTCGCGACAAGGGGGGCGCGGCAGGCTGGTCCACGGCGCGGCGAAGGCGGGCCCGCCGTGGCGAGGCGGCGGGCGGGACGAAGGAGCGAGGGGCGGCCAGCGGACGGGGGGGCCCGACCAGCAGCCCGCGTCAAGAGAGGGAAGGTCCGCGCTCGAGGCAGCAGGGGAGCAAGGTGGCGGGGGGGGGGCACGCCGAGGGAAGCACTCGCTGGGGCGGCGAAGGGCCGGCCTGCTGCTGTCGCGACACTCTCGTGGCATGTTGCACGACGAGCGCCGTCGCTGCGCATGTGCGAACAGGCTGCTGGAGCAGGGCGGTGCGCCTCCGCGGGAGTGTCGCCTGCGTCGCGCCCAGGCACCCCCACACACACACACAATTGGGCGATCGCGGCCTCGCGCGCAGCGAGAGGCGGAGTAAGTCGAAGAGCGGCGGGAGCGACACACACACACACACATTCACACACATTCACACACACACACACACATTCACACACCCACACACACACCCACACACACACAAGCACACACGCACACACACACACACACACACACTCATTGTCACACACACATATGCATGCACGCACGCACGCACGCACGCACGCACGCACGCACATGAACGGCACTGCATTGGCGTAAGAAGAATGGCACACCAGCACGTACAAAGCAACTGCATTCGCTCGGCAAGAGAAAACAACACTTATGATCCGATGTGGTTCGTCTAACCACAAGCCAATCAACCCGCAAAACGCACAGAAGCAACGCATCCCAGGGCTGTGTGGCGATTGTACTGTCCTCGGCCATGGCAGCGAGTGCTGGGGAGAACTCTGGAAGGCATGCAGATCACGACCCCATGAGACCTGGGCGATTCCGCTGCGGAAACACACCGCATCCTGCCTAGAAGCCTGACCAAAGCCCTGACATCCGACGCACAGTTCTTTTCGGTGCCGGGCTCTTGGAGATCTCGCCCCGTCCCACGACCAGCCTTCCATCGTGCTCCATTGTTGGACAGTCCTGGGGCATGGAAGCGGTCTGCGGATGCCGACAATTCCAAACCGCCGGCGCAGCTTTTCCCGAGTCTGCGAAAAGCTCGGGGCCCTCACAGAAGGATGGACGTATCTCTCACACGCAAAGGTCACTTGCTACACCAACACCGTGCCTGCCTCGGGCCGTCCTCGGCCCCAGCGCGCTGCACGCGCCCTCCTGGCCGATGCCAAAGGGGCCTTTACACTGGCCCTGGTTAGCCCTGACCAGGCACGGTGGTGGCGTATAGGTTAAGTTGCCATGGTAGGGGTACCTTGTCTGTCCGATCGTGCCACTGTCCGAGTCGAATCCTCGCCGAATCCGCGTCAAACCAAAGTCGAACCGTAATCGAGTCCACGTCGAATCCACGTTGAGCCCGCGCCGAACCCGTCGGGCAGAAGAACACAACGTCATTTCTGGGACAGGCAGGGTGCCCCCCACCCCCCCCCCCCGAACGTGCAGCTGGAGATAGATGCCTCCTGCGGATCCCAGGGCGCGCTCCAGCAGCGTCGCCCCCCATGCCCCCCCTGACGAACCAACAACACACACCCATACCCATAGGGGGGTCGGAAAGGGCTATGGGTGCGTGTTGTCGGATGGGGGTCCCCGCACGCCGTGTGCAGGCCTGCGCCAGCCGCGGGCTTCCAGAGCCGTGGCGACCGCGCGCCCTCGCCCGCCGCCTCGCAGTCGTCGGGCACGGCCGCGCGGTCGGCGGGCGCCTCTGCGCGGCGGGGAGAGCCGGCGGAGGCACGCACACACAGAGTTGCCTCGGCGGCCACGCGCCCAGCGTGGCAGCGGACCTCCTCCGCCTCCGCCTCCTCCTCCGCCTCCGCCTCCTGCTCCTCCCGTGCGTCATGATCGGCATCCTCGCCACGATCACCACCGCAATCCGCCTCCCGCTCCTCCTCCTCCTCCTCCTCCTCCTCCTTCTCCTCCTCCTCCTCCTCCTCCTGTGCGGCATGATCGGCATCGTCACTACGATCACCACCGCAAAGACCAGCATGAACATCACAGCCATCATCATCATCATCATCATCATCATCATCATCATCAGCATCATCATCAGCAGCAGCATTCCCATCATCAACAGCAGCATCATCGTCATCATCATCAGCATCATCATCAGCATCGTCATCCGCAGCATCATCGCCATCATCACCAACATCAACAACAACATCAGCATCATGAGCAGCATCGTCATCATCGTGATCATAGTCTTCGTCGTCGCCAGCAGCACCATCATCATCACCATCATCATCATCAGCAGCATGTCGTCATCGCAAGCCTCAATCAGCACCATCATCATCAGCAGAAGCATCATCATCCTCATCATCATCGTCACCATCAGCATCAGCATCATCAAACTCATCAACATCATCATCGGCACCACCAACACCAGCATCACACCACTACAACCACCACCATCATCATCATCATCATCATCAACATCAGTATCAGCAACATCATCAGCATCATCAGCATCATCATGATCATAATCCTCATCATCAGCAGCATCATCAACATCATCATCAGCAGCATCATCAGCAGCAAAGGCTTCATCAGCAGCATCGTCATCATCGTGATCGCAGTCGTCGTCGTCGTCGTCGTCAGCAACATCATCATCAGCAGCAGCATATCATCATCGGCAGACTCAATCAGCATCATCATCAGAAGCAGCAGCTTCAGAACATCCCTCATCATCCTCATCGTCACCATCAGCATCAGTACCATCATCATCATCATACTCACCATCGCCATCATAATCGGCACCACCATAACCACCACCACCATCACAACCACCACCATCATCATCACCATGATCATCCGCAACAACAGCATCCTCATCACCATCATCATTATCAACAACAACATCGTCAGCATCACCCTCATCATCAGCACCAGCATCATCGTCATCAGCATCATCATCAGCAGAAGCAGCATCACCGTCGCCATCATCATCATCAACAACAGCATCATCAACAGCATCGCCATCATCGTGGTCGTAGTCTTCATCGTCGTCATCAGCACCGCCATCATCATCATCATCATCATCATCATCATCAGCAGCATCATCATCAGCAGGAGCATTATATCATCACCGTTCGCCTCATTCAGCATCAGCATCAGCAGCAGCAGCCTCAATACACTCATCATCATCCTCATCCACATCATCCTCAATCAACATCATTATCGGCACCAAGACCACCACCACCACCATCATAACCACCACCATTATGATCATCATCATCTGCATCATGCCCATCACCATCAACAACAACATCATCATCACCATCATCATCATCCTGGTCACCATCATCATCAGCACCATCCTCATCAGTTCTATAATAATCAGCATCAGTAGCATTATCATCATAATCAACATCCTCCTCACCGTCATCGCCTCAACATCATCATCATCAGCATCAGCATCATCAGCATCATCACCAGCAGCATCAGCATCATCACCATAATCATCATCATCAGCATCATCATCATCATCATCATCGTCATCGTCATCGTCATGACCAGCATCATCAGCATCAGTATCGTCAGTATCCTCCCCATAGCCGTCACCACCATCATCATTACAAGTATCAGCAGTGCCTTTATCAGAATCATCATCGTCCTCATCAGTATCATCATCCTCGTCAACGAGTGCATCATCATCATCGTCATCGTCATCAGCATCATCATTAGCCCAATCACAATCATCGGCATCATCATGAACTAATTAGCAACATCATCAGCAGCATCCGCGTCAGCATCAGCATAATGATCAGTTGGAACATCCTCATCCTCATCAGCATCATCATCCTCGTCATCAGCATAACCATCGCCATCGCCATCATCATCATCATCATCATCATCATCATCATCATCATCATCATCATCATCATCATCATCATCATCGGCAGCAGCAGAGCCATGATCATAAGCAGCAGCATCCGCAGCATCATCATCATCAGCATCAGCATCTGCATCAGCATCAGCGTCATCATCATCATTATTATCAGCATCATTATCATCATCATCAGCAGCATCATCATCATCAGTATCATCATCAGCAGCCTCATCATCATGCTTATGTTTATTAGTATTGGTATCATTATTAGTATTATCTTTATTATTATAATTATCATTATCCATCTCGCAGTCCTTATCCTCTTCCACTTCCTCCTCATCCGCCACCTCCTCCTTTCTTTTCCCGCCTTCTTCTATCAGAACGATACTCCTTCTCCCTCTCCCCCGCTTCCTCCTCCTCCTCATCATCCACCTCCCCCTCCAAGATCGTTCGACCAGGACGATATTCTTCCTCCACCTCCTTCCCCTCCCCCTTTTCCCCCGCCTGTTCATCCTCACGTTCTTCGTCCCTGCTGGTTCTCCTCCTGGCTGCTTCGAGACATCCACAACACCCACTCTCGTTCTCCTCTCCCTCCGTGTCCGCCTCCGCTGGAGGAAAAGAAGGAGGAAGAGGAGGAGAAAGAGCAGAAGGAGGAGGAGGAGGAGGATCTGGAGGAGGATGGATGGCAAAGTCAGGATGACTTGTTCGACGTTAGTGGGCCAGTGGGTCAGGAGGAGGAGAAGGATCGAGGATCGAGGATTTGGGACGTCCGCGCTGTTTTGTGGGGGACTCTCGGGGCGTCCTCGTCGCCGCGGCTGGATCTGCCTCGAACTTCTGGTCGGGACGCGCTCCAGGAGAGGTCGGGGGATCGACTGCGGCGGAGCAGGGTGGGGGAGGAGGACGAACTGAGGGAACGACGAGTGGAGAAGAGGAAGGGCGGGGCATCGCCTTTCTTTCCCGTCTGAAGAGCCAGCCGAAAACGTCCAGGTACAGCACGGTCCGAAACCTCGGCTGTGGTACAAGGCCACTCTGCGAAGAGAGAAGGACTGCTGCTGCAACATGGGACCCAGGCCTCAGAGTTCGGGGCGGGCCCCAGGGATACACACCACCACCGCTTCCAATCCTCCTCCCTCCTCTGCCCTCCTCCTCCTCTCTGCTCTCCTGGGCGAGGGAGGAAGGGAGGGAGGTGGTGGTGCTGTATATTCTTGAGCCCCGCACCGACGCCCTCGCTTCAAGACAGGATCTCTCGAGCTCTCCACCCTCTCCCCGAGGCACGACTGCTCATCCTGAGAGCCGCTCTGCGGCGGCCCCCGGGGGGCCCGCGGCAGGGCCTCCACGGACCGAGGGGACAGCCGCCGCCAGCACTGGGACGAGCACGACAAGCCAGAGGGATCGCAACGCGGCCGTGGCCTGTCGCTCGGGGGAGCGGTTCCGTGTGTCGCCGGCTGCCCCACTCCCTGGCGGCGCGCACAGGGGGGTGCAGTCGGACCTGGGCAAGAAGAGCATCCTTCAGGAGCAGGAGTCCCTCCGCCAGCTGAAACAGACACAGCATCCAAGGGCACCCTCCTCAGGACGTACAAAAACGCAACAAGCACGAAGATCACTGGAGTACGGAGTACCCTCCCCGAACCGACCTCGATCTTATACCTCGGTCCGACTGTAGGGGGAAGGAGGAGACATCTTAGAAGGAGGCTGCTTCTCAGAGGGCGAAGGCCCTACATCTACAGAGAAGGCCCGCGCCTTCTGCAGGGGTGCTTCTCAGAAGCCTTCCCCCCTCCCCAAAACCCTTCTGGTGAGCGTTTTCGTATTCGGCGTTTCGACATTGGGCGGAAAGGGGGGGGGATGGGGGTGGTCTGGCTCCGGATTTCTACTTCATGCTACTTTTTTGCAACGGTGCGACGAGGGCAGACTTCACCTGCGACGAGGGCAACATTTCTACCTTCATAGGGGGCAGACTCCACCTGCTCGAAACAGGCGCCAGAAGCAAAGCAGCCAAGATATACTACTCCATGGTGGGGGGGGGGGTGCGAAGGCCCGCACGGATCGGCAGAACAATGAATAAGAAAACTCGGGAGCGGCCAAGAGGGGGGTGTCCAAGAGAGGGGGGGTGCAAATCATGACCCGGCAGCATGTGCGCGGCCCAGCGGGGGGGCCAGGGACGTAATGAAATCAGAAGAGGCGCCATGAAACCTGGGGAAATATCATGACCCCCGCCATGATATCCCCCCCCCTAGTCATCACCCCCCTCTCTTCCGCCCCCGAAAAACGATCACCTGCGCGTGGCCAGCCTCTGGTCACCGGGCTCCCCATGCAGGGCCTGCGAGGACCGGGCCGGGCGCGCCTGAGAGGGGGGGGCCCGGCAGGAGGGGGGGGGGGGGGGGGCGCACCACCATGCCCCGAGGCGCGCGCGCAAGCGAGGGGGGGGGGCTGGGAGCGCGTCGAGAGAGGAGGAGGGTGCCGCGAGTGGGCGAAAAAGGGACGCCACGAACGTAAACTTGTGGCGCTCCGCGCGGACTTCGTGGATCTGCGCCCTGCGCCCCTCTCCCAGTCGCGCGCAGAGCTCGCCAAGGGCGGCTCTGGAGGCGCCGCCGGGGGGGGCACCCGCGCCCGATCCAGAGATCCGCGCGGAGCGCCGAAGCGAAATCCTCGCCGCCGCTCGCCAGGAGCGCCGGAGGAGGAACGATCGGTCCGTGCGGCGTCGGCGCGCGCCAAAGGTTTTTGACACCGCCTCGATCGTGCATCCTTGAACCGATCGCGGCCCCGATCGCTCAAGGCTGAACCCGGTCGGGTCCTGTGGCGTTACCGTGTCCCTCGGTGCTTGAGCGTCGTGCTATAATGCGGGATTCACCCTGCACGCCTTCGCCGGCGTCGCCAGCGCGCTATCGCCGCGTGACCCTGCCGTACCATCACAGTCAACCCGTACAGTAAGGGCGCACGATGAGGATGCAAGGGCCTTGGAAGGCTATGCCGACACTCTGCGAGCGGGGCGCGGCCAGCGAAAGCGGCCAAGGATGGGCCGACGGGGAAGGATGCGAGGGGAACCTTGGAAAGTTACTCATCCTTCCTATGTGGGTTGACTGTACAATTAGAGGCCGCCCAGGTGGGGTCCGAGCAGGTGGGATCGGGAGAGCGCGCCACATCGCCGATGCCTCGCCGAAACCTCGCCGGCGATGCGCCGGCGACGTCGACGAGGCATCGGCGCCGCCGGCGTGGAGAAAACCGGGCTCCGCACCGAGCCGCAGTGCCGACGCATCGGCTATGTGGCGCGATCCTCCAGCCCCGTCTATTCGGACCACATCCAGGAGGCCTAGAAGCTCACCCTGGCCCAGCGGCTCGCTCTGCAGGTCCTCTGGCCAGTGCGCGGAGGCCGCCTCGGCCTCGGCTTCGAGGGCCGGGGGCCTTGCCGATGAGCGAAGCGCTCGTGGTGAGCAGCCACGCGCTCCTCATGGCCTGTCCCCCAGCAACAAAATCCGTGTGGATCCGACATAGCCCAGGGGGCCGATCCGAAAGAGTCCATGGAGGTTTGGGATAAAACTCGTGTCTGACCCGCGAATGACCATGAAACGACCCTACCAGGGGCGTATCACGGGAAAGCCTGGCAACACCATTGCAGCGCGTTGCGTCGCATAGCAGGTCACATCGCATCAGAAGCGAAAACAACTAATAGCGTGGCATTGCGATATAAGACGTTGTATGGCGTAGCACAGCATGTCATTGCATGTCACCCCCATGACTTTCATTGAATAACATGTTCGATGTCATCGCGGATCATCCTCACACGTCCACCATCCCCAGTCCTGAGGAGGACAAGGAGGAGGAGGAGGAGGAGGAAGAGGAGGAGCAGGAGCAGGAGCAGGAGCAGAAGGAAGAGGAGGAGGAGAGGGAGGAGCAGCAGGGGGAGGAAGACGACGAGGACGAGGAGGAGGAGGAGGAGGGGGAAGAGGAGGAGGAGGAGGAGGAGGAGGAGGAGGGGGAAGAGGAGGAGGAGGAGGAGGAGGAGGAGAAGGGGGAGGAGGGAAGGAGTAGAAGGAGGGAGGCGGAGGAAGAGTAGGAGGAGGAGGAGGAGAAGGGGAAGGAGGAGGAGGAGGAGGAGGAGGAGGGGAGGAGGAGCAGCAGGGGGAGGCGGAGGACGACGAGGACGAGGAGGAGGAGGAGGACGAGGAGGAGGAGGAGGAGGAGAACGAGGAGAAGGAAGGGGTAGAAGAAGGAGAAGGAGGAGGAGGAGGAAGAGTAGGAGGAGGAGGAGGAGGAGGAAGAGGAGGAGGAGGAGGAAGAAGAGGTGGAGGGCCTCCACGAAGGCGGGAGCGGGGCGCGCCCCCCGAGGCGGGGGCTTGGTCGGCAGTGCCGCCCCGCTCGGCTGCACCTGCACGTCGCAGGCGTTGAGGACCTGCGGCGGGCGCCGTCGGCGCCGTCGGCGCCGACGTCCCGAGTCGCTGAAATACTCGGGAGCGGCCAAGAGGGGGGCGTCCAAGAGGGGGGGGGTGCAAATCATGACCGGCGGCACGTGCGCGGCCCAGCGGGGGGGCCAGGGACGTAATGAAATCAGAAGAGGCGCCACGAAACCTGGGGAGATCTCATGGCGCCCGCCATGATATCCACCCCCCCTAGTCATCACCCCCCTCTTTTCCGCCCCCAGAATACCGACGTCGCTGGAGGCCCAGATCCGAGGCTCCGGAAACGTCGGAGCGGTTGGTCTGCGAGCAGCTGCTTCTGGCCTCTGGGGGGCCAACAGCGGGCCCCGGGACCGCGGAGGACGGGTCAGGACGAAAACCTGGCCCGAGGGAAGAGGTTCGGACCTCTGGGGGGACCGACGCATCGAAAAAAACAGATGCTGCAGATGCCTGGGGACCCGCAAGTCTTGATGAGAAGGCACGACTGCAGCTCTCGGCCCCGCCTCTCCGCCCCGCCCCGCCGGCGCCGTCGGCGCCGTCGGCCAGGCGAAGCGGGGAATCAGCCATGACCACCGCCTGGGGGATCGATCCTCAGGGTCCTCGGCAGGCGGTGGATACCCATTGGCCAGAAGAATGGGTAGAAACATGAGATGATAAACCTTGAATACATATTGCGTTCACGAACGTCCCCGGGAGAGGAAAGAGAAAGGAAAACCGCTCGACACTTGATATCGGAAGGCGCCTGACGTTCATGGGGGTCTGAGAATCGAACCGAAAACTCTTGCCAACGACCGACGGGTATGGATATACTTGGATTCCTCTGGGCCCAAATAGACATATATCCATGACCACCACCTCCCCGGGCGGTGGTGGTGGACGAACCCCCGCACCGGAGTCGGCAGTGCGCTCGGACCTCGGGGCGTTTCGCACTCCCTGCATCTACGTTTTGCCCCGGGGTCAGGATGTGCCGGACACCGGACATCTCTCAGGAGTAGCAAAGCGATGCGGCGACGGACCGCGCGGTGACCTCGAGATCCAAAGAAATCTCCACGCACGGCCCGTCACCGCGCGGTCTTGGGATCCTGGAGGCCCCGAGGCGTCCTCGGAAAACGACCCAAGTCCCAAAACCGCGCGGTCACCCCGAATCCCCACTGACTCACCACACGGTGTTGTCATCATACCGATTGGAAGCCTCCGAAAAGGACTTGCCGTCATGAGCCGCAAGGGCCCAGCAGGGTGGCACCAGAGCGCCAATCTGTCAAGGAGCGCAACCACATAACTATAATTCTTGCGAAGCAGTGCTGGCAAACAGCGCGTCTACTGACCCGGACGACGGAGAACGAGGAAGTAGAATTGCGGGGGGGGGGCTGGCGGCATGAAGACAGCATGGCGACAACAGGGAACCTCTTCTTCACCAATCAGATGTACGCGCTTCGGAGGTGCAAGCCCAGATAGCAGCGAGGCGTCCTATTCGAGTCGGGATTGGGCGGGCGATCGAACAGCTCTGGCGGAGCAGACAAACCGAGAAAGAGGGAATGCCAAAACTGCCCCATCCACGCGCGCCTCCTCAGTCCGTGGGGGGGCGCGCGCCAGGCGCGGCGGAGTGCGTGCTCAACGACTGTACTCAGTGAGCACGCTCGTGCTCTGTTTACCAGCCTGGAACATATCCCCATCCCTATTCTGGGCACTTCCTCATCACGATGCCAGTATTAGGGATTCCCTCATTTTTTGAGGGCAAATCCCTAAGATTGTCATCGCCTTTTGGCGTGTCCATCTTAGGGATAGGGATACGTTCGAGGCTGGTAATATGTGAAACGGCACAGAGCAGCTCGCCTGAGTAGGCGAGGGAGGCTGCATGCTGCTCGCCGTGCCTGCGCATGCGCGAGTGCCGTGCGTCGCGGTCGAAACGACCAGAAGGCCGAGCAAAGCTCGACGCGGCGGGACGCGCGAACCGCGAGGATGACAGGGCGGGGATGCGTTGAGACCACGGACTGGAAGATTGGGGCGGGCCCCCAGACATGGTCCTTGAGGAAGGCGGGCCCCGACTCTCTCACGCACCACGGGGTCGACCCTGCGAGGACGTCTCGAGCAAAAGGGCCCCGGACCGGGACACGCCCGGCGCGCCCGGTGCGCTCCCCGAAAATGGTCCCTGGGGGCGGCGGGGCCTGACTTTCTCTCGCACCGGGGAGTGGAATTTGCGAGGATGTAGGGAGGGAGGAGGAGGAGGAGGAGGAGAGAGGAGGGCGGAGGGAGGAGGAGGAGGCGGAGGAGGAGGAGGAGGAGGCGGAGGAGGAGGAGGAGGAGGAGGTCGAGCGAGAACCCCAGGCTGGGACAGTCCCGGCGCGCCCGGTGCGCCTGGTGCGCTCCCTGGAAATGGTCCCCCGCGGCGCGGCGGGGCCTGACTCTCTCACGCGCCGGGGGGGGTAGGATGGCGTGAGCTCCACAGGAACTCCCTCAAGTGAGTGAGTCTGGATGTGAGCGGGCCTGAGTGTCAGCGAGGGAAATTGGAGGAAGCGCGAGGTGAAGAGGAGGCGGAGGCGGTACAGAGTATGAGGGAATCTGAGTATGAGTGAGTGCGAATGTGGGAGCATGGGTATGAGTGCGTTGGAATATCACTGACTCTGAGTGTGAGTGAGTCGGTGTGTGAGTGGGTATGAGCTTCAGCCAGTGTGAGTATGAACGGATCTGAAGATCGGAAACCTGAGAGCGAGAAGGCGGGAGGAGCGGAAGCACAAGAATGGTAAGAATCCCATATCAAGACGTGGGGGGAACTGGCAACATTGTCAATCCTCCTTCTCATCCTCCTTCCCCTCCTCATTATCCTCTTCCTCCTTTTCTTCCTCCTCCCCCAGCTTGATGTAATATATATATATATATATGTATGGGAGGCCTTAACCCCGTTAGTGGGCCCAGCTTCCTGGGGTTACCACCCCATAGGGCACGGAGACCCGATGTAGCATATGACATTATGGCCTAGGGGCCATCTGGGTCCAGGCCGCACGTGAAAGGACAACTAATCAAGAGAGCCTGGGCCATGTGGCCCAGGTAGTGCAGCTCCAGCGTGGCAGTGCATCTCGGCACCTTCGAAGACCACATGAACTCATGGGCACCATACTTCCCATCACAGCCCGTCGGCAGTTCGGGAAAGGAACCCACCTGTCTCTTTTATAATTCTCCCTTCCGCCCTCATCTGTCCCCTTCAACGTTGCTGTCCTTTCAGCAACTGAAGATCGGACGATACGGGGCGGGCGAGAAAGCAGGTGGAGGGCGGAAATTGAGAACACGCTGGTGTGGTGCGGCTGTACCGTGGCGCTCGTCGGTGCACCAGAGGATTCATGAGCCAAATGTGGGCGCGAAATTCGCGCCCAGATCCTGATGAAGCACTAGCAAAGCCTCGTAAACTATCACATGCGTGATTCACACAATCTGGGGCCATCAATAGTACGAGGGGATGTAGCAGACGACTGCAACGGCCGATCTTCGGTGGCTGCAATTTGTTGCGCCCACGCGCCAGCCTGTTGCGCCGGCTCCCCAGGGACGCGCACCTGAGGGTCCACGCACTCACCTGAGGACCTCCCGCACGTGAGGGGGGGTACGAGGGGAGGAGGAAGGCACGAACTGAGGATCCTCACCAGAATACCCTCGCCTCGCATGCCCCCCAAAGGACCTCACCTGAGAATGATCCCTGTTCCCAGACGGGCGCCACTGGGCTCCCCTGTCTGAGGGGGGGCGCGGGGAAAGAGAAAGGCGCGAGAGTGAAGGCACTCACTCGAAGGCATGATTTTTTCTCTTACATAGTGTGGGCAGAGAGCGAGGCGAGTAGTTGCACGCGTGCCTTGTTATGCTGAGGTTGCCGCCGCACCTGCACGATTGTATGAGTGAAGCGAGGCCGTTCAAGCAGGCCAAAGCTAAGCTGACGCTCGGTCGGCAACGCCTGTTTATCAAAAGGAATGGGAAACCCAGCTCACACTTTACCAAAGTGCACCACGAAGGCACAGTGGCGGTGCAGTGGGCTCGCTGATCGAGGCCAATGGGGGTGGTGCGACGGCGGACAGGGAACCGACACCGCCCCCAAGTGTCTTTCCCAAATCCGTGTCGCACCTCACCAGAAAGCCCCAGGAATGCACGCTGGCGGTGTTGTGGGGCGTGTTGTCCGAAACTTACGGGGGCAAGGCGGCGCCCCAGGAGAGATAGTCCCAGGAGAGATGGCGGTGCCCCAGCTGCCGCCGCAGAAGGAGGGGGAGACGTGGGAAAAAATAAAGGAGGGGGCGGCCCCAGTTCCTGTGGCCTCGCCCCTCGTTCGGTTTTGTGGTGCCGCGCCTGCAACGGATGTATGAATGTCACTAAGCCGTCCAAGCACATGAGCCGCCGCTCGGACGCCGACGCCTGTTCATCGACAAAGATGTGCACCCCAGCTCACACCTCACCAGAGTGACGCATGAGAGCACGGAGGCGGCGCAGTGGGCGTGCTGGCCGAAGCCGCGAGGGCACCGCTATCGCATTCCAATGTCCTAAGCAAGTGCGCGGGAGGAGGATGGGGGATACAGGGGGAGGGGGAGCGGCCCGAGCTCCAATGACCTTTCGTCTTGTTGTGTTCGGTGTGCCGCGCCCACAGAGGCTGTATGAACGAATCGCGGCCGTCCAAGCAGGCCAGAAATGAGCTGATACACGGATGCCAACGCCTGCTCATCGACACGGGTGGGCATCCCAGCTCGCACCACGGCAGAGAGCCCCATGAAGGCACGGTGGCGATGCAGCGGGCGCGCTGGCCGAAGTCGCCACGGCAGCGCGACGGCGGCGGGGGAGCCGCTGTCTCGACCGAGTGCTCTGAACATGAGTGCGGGGGAAGGCAGGGGGGGAAGAGGAGGAACAGGAGAAAGGTGGGGTGTGGAGCGACGAGAGACAGGAGAGAGGGGGGGCGAGCAGCCCGAGCTCCCAGGACTTGCCTTGTAATGCTGACCGCCGCGCACGCAATGGCTGTATGAACGCCGCGAGGCAATCCAAACAGGGGATTTGAGCTGACGCTCGGTTGCCAGCCCATGTTCATCGACGGGGACGGGCATCCAAGCTCATACACCACCAGAGTGCCGAATGGAGGCACAGTGACGGTGCAGCACGGCTCGCTGGCCGAAAAAAACGGGGGCAGGGTGACGGTGGCCGGGGAGGCGCTATCAATCCCGAGCGTTCCAAGATTGAGCGTGAAGACAAGGAGAGGGGTAGAGGACAATCTTGCAGGTGAAGGAATGGAAATGTAGACGTATGGAGGCGTATTGTTTAAAATTCGTCCTCGCAGAGATGGCCAGCTCGCTGTGCATCCTTGAGCCTTCAGCCTTGAACCTTGAGCATCGCACCCTCCGCCAGGCCTCCCCGAATTCAGCAACGCGAGGGGTAACCAGCCCGAGCCCCAATGACCCCTGGCATTCGGGGCGCCTTAACCCCGCTAGTGGGCCCAATGACCGGGTTTCCGCCCTGTAAGGCACACTGGCCCGTGCCGCCGCGCCTGTAACGGCTGTGACCGGCTCGGGGCCGCCTGAACAGGCCTGATGGGGTGCCGCGCCTGCAACGGCTGTGTGACCGACTCGGGGCCGCCCAAGCAGGCCAGGGGGTGGGAGGGGGGAGCCAGCTCAGGCTGCGCACAGCGTCAACCCCTTGGGCCGTGCCGCCTTCCTTTCATGAGTATGGGGGTCCGACGGGAAAACTGCGCCGATGGGCCGCCCCAGTGGGCCACACGGGCCAAGGCTGCCAAGGCCGAAGGACCCAAACCGCCGAGGCTCGAACCTGGACTCGAAGACACGGGTGGGGCAAATGGAGAGGGGAGAGGCGGGGCAGTGCCACTCTCCGGCCGACGGTGCGCACAGTGTCTAACCCATGCGGTTGTCAACCCAGGGGCCGCGCCGCTTTCCCTTGATGGGGTCCGACGGGAAGGAGGGTAAGGACCCAACCCGCCAGGACTCAACCACGAAGACCCGGGAGGGGGAAATAGTTTGTTGTGTTGAGGTGCCGCGCCTACGACGGTTGTTGGCACGACGCGAAACCGTCCAAGCAGACCCCAACTGAACGAACACTTGGACGCCAACTCGTGCGCTCGCGCCTGTGAAGTGAGGGGTGCCGCGCCTGCAACGGCTGCCTGAACGACGCGAGGCCGTTCAAGCAGATCACAGCTAAGCTGACACCTGGACGCCAACCTCTGTTCATCGACAAAGAAGGGCATCCCAGCTCGCACCACGACAGCGCGCCGCATGACAACGCTGCAGCGGTGCAGTGGGCAAGGCGGGGGCGGCCCCAAGCGCGGCGAATTTCACCCTAGCGTCCTAAGCAAAAGCGCGGGAGGAAACATTAGAGGTAACGGGGGGGAAGCGGCCTGGGCTCCGGTGACCTTGTGTCTTGTCGTGTTTGAGGTGCCGCGCATGCAACGGCTGTATGGACGACTCGCGGCCGTACGGTGACTGGACGCTCGCTTGCCGCCGCTTGTTCGTCGACAGGGATGGGTATCCCAGTTCGAACCTTGTCAAAAAAACATGAAAGCACAATGGCGATGCAGTGCGGTTCGCTGGCCGAAGCCAGCGGGGGCAGTGCGACGGCGGCCAAGAACCGCACCCAAGTGCCCACGAGGTGTCACGACCTCGAGGTGCACGGCCCCGAAGTGACAGCCTCGAAGTGGAGACCTCGCGCTGAGCACATCGATGCGGGGACCTCGAAATGCGCGGGACATCTGGTCTCTGGTCTTGCCGCCAGGCTGTCCTTGAGGTATGAACGCCATGTGCCGGTGTCGCCCAGGTTTCCTCACCCGTGGGTTGATTGTGCAGGTGCTCTTCGGGCGCGCGCCATGCGCACACCATTATCGGCGCCCCATGCGTCCTGCACAACATCCACCCCCAAGGTCTGCGGAATGACTTCGGCATGGGGCCTGGCGGAGGAGGAAGAGGAGGACGACGACGAGGAGGAGCTAGGAGGATCGAAAAGACAAAACGGGAGCGAGGGACGAGGGGGAGGAGGGGGAGGAGGACCTCGAGAGGAGAGGATGAAAGGGGGAGGAAGAGAAGGCCCGAGGAGGGGAGGGAGGGAAAACGAACTTCCCCCCGCCGCGCGCGGAGCGCGGAGCGCAGCGCGAGGGGACCCACGCGAGCCACAGGCACTGCGCGGCGGCCACGAAAGGGATCACGCACGAAGCCGCGAAGTCGCCCTCTGCCAGCGGCGCACGACGACGACGACGACGACGGCGGTGGCGGCGGCGGCGAGGGCGGCGGCGGCGGCAGCGGCGGTGGCGACGACGACGACGACAACGACGACAAAGGCAACGACAAAGACAAAGACAAAGTCAAAGACAAAGACAAAGACAAAGACAAAGACGACGACGACCACGACGACGACGACGACGACCACCACGACGACGACGACGACGACGACGACAACGACGGCAGCAGCAAGGCGGCGGCGGCGGCGGCGGCGACGATGACGACGGCGACGGCGACGGCGATCGCGGCGGCGACGGCGACGATGACGACGGCGACGGCGACGGCGATCGCGACGGCGACGGCGACGGCAACGGTGACGACGACGACGACGACAGCGGACAGGCCTGGAGAGCAGTTCGCAACCAGGTACGAAGAAAAATGCTCATAAAGAATTACTCTTAGGGTTGGCGTTCACATCTGGGTGTGCGTATTTCGCTGCCTCGGTCAGTTCTGTTTGTGGTCCGCCCATGTCTCTAAGCTGATCGCAAGTATTCCCACCTTGTTCCCACATCCATACTTTGAATTCCCTGTAGTGCATTCGGCGCCCGTGCTCGGAACTACATTTTCAAAAAATGTACACACGAAACAACAGTGCCCTCACCGCGTACCAGGCTTGAGCCCACCCTTGGAAATGGGCGAAATGCCCAGTCCAGTCGTAGACCCTGCTCAACACCACTTTGCCCCATCGTTCACAGCCCCATCTTTTCCAGAGGCTGTTCAATCGTGCGGAGACCAACCCCATGCAGTTTGCAGGTTTCTCCGCGCCCGTGCAATCGATACCGTCCAGAAAGAATCTG